TGTGTGTGTGTGTGTGTGTGTGTGTGTGTGTGTATATATATATACTATTTCGACGTCTTATATGTATACATATATGCATATATATCGTCAACTTACCCAGCGAGATCTACTGGCCTCAATACTTACCTGTGGTTGGTATACCCTTGCCGATCACAGAGGTCTGCATAGACAATACACAGCCCTGTGTTCTATTTTTAGATTTCGGTCGCACCACACACACCACCTCCTTCCGATCGCAGTCTGGAGGGTATTCGGCTTCGTGCCTATAACTAGATTTCCAACAAAACAAAAATAATCCGAAGAAAACGAGGAATGGGTGAGATAATAATACAATCGGGAGTATAGTACTGAAAACTCGGTTTTGAATTGGAGCTTCTATATTTCTGTCTTGACAGAAGATAAAAGTCTCGATAGATGAATGCTAATATCAATATCAGCTAACGGACTAAGTTGCATACCGGTCTGCCTGTTGCTGAGTACTGTCCTCGCTGCTGAGCGTGCGGTCTTTTTTATCCGTAAAATGGGACAGGGAGAAGCCTGCGCAGGACAATTGGGGCCCAGAAATTGTGTTGCATTAAGTTTAGCACCGAAATCACAACCACCAAACAAGGTCAATGTGAGTGACAAACTGGGATATAAAACTGCCCCACTTGCACCCTTTACCGGATCTCTTGAGCACATTAGGACATTCCGTAATATTTGTACTACAGGGTCAGGATCAAACCCACACACAAACACAATGTTTTGATAATCCCCATACAAACCTCAAGTGACATGACGGTAGTACCTAGGTCACATGTGTGTAGAATGTTAGTCACATGTTTGTAGATGTTTCCAACATGGTCTGCGGAACAGATGGTACTACATCGTTTGTGTAGCAGTCGGTGTAGTATGATTACTGCACTGCAAAAGTGAAAGTGAATCAAAAAGGCATGCTTACCTCAAAATCTAATTAGATAGATGATCCATAGGATGTTGTATAGACAAGTACGATGTTTTTATGCACATTGTTATATATATCCCATTATACATATATAT